GGGGGGGGGGTCTCCGATATGACTTCGTGTCCTCATCGGATTGGACATATTGATTTTTCAGGAATAAATTGGAAAATGTGGATGTGAGATTTGCCGATTTCGATGGTGTTATCTATCACGTATCAAATCCAGATGGTGATCGTTCCAAAATCATGGTAATCGTATTTGCAGGCTTTTTTTTTTTTTGGAAGTAAAAGTACTTGAAAATCGCAGTTTTATCAATTTTACCATTACAAAACGTTTTTCGTCATTTTTTGTATTGTTTTATTTCGCATAATTTCGTGGTTTTGTAAATAGAAAGATGCCAATTACTGGGACGTTTCACACGACGGTCGTAGCTATGCCAGTATCCTGGGTCCTGAGTAGTGTAAAGATTTGTTCGAAAATTTAACTTTCAATAATTCGGTATTATTATTATCAAAGGATAGATATTATTATGATATTATTATTCGGGATTATTATGATTTCTGTGAATTCGAATGTTTGCAGCTCAGCATATCGCTGAAATTCTATAAGGAATTGCAAGAACATGGTGCGGACGAGGTTGCCTTTTTTGTTTCCATCATTATATTTTTTTTTTTTATTTCCTCTTTGTTCAGGTTTTTTCGATTAAGCTGTGTAAATATTATCGTTTTGCTGTCAAAAGTACAAGTTTTTTGCAAAAAACGGTGGTAGAGAGAGAGAGGATTGAACATTGTTACCTTCATGAAACTTGCCTCATCCTCTAAAAAATTTGTTAAACTCATGTTTTTACAGCTGTTGAAAATATTTCGCCTTTACGTTTCGAATTTCAATTTTACACTTTTCAAAAACTCATGTCTCAGTTCAAATTAAGTTTTTTACAAAATTTGAAAATCGATGAACTGCGTGACTTAATTTTATAATTTCCCTGGCCATGTTGTTTCAGTTATTACGCCGTGAATATGGGAATTATTTGTGTGCTTCGCCAGAACCAGGTTATAATGTGTCGCTGGTGTATAACTTAGCCGAATTGCCTGATGATTTCTCGACAATTGTCCAGCAGGCTTCTCATCTGAAGCGGAATTGCTTCGCGTCTGTTTTTGAGAAATATTTCAATTTTCAAGCGCAGGGTCAGACAGGAGCGAAACGAGCCATAATTCATTATCGCGAGGATGAAACTTTGTAAGTTGTTCTTTTTTTTTTTTTGATTATATCCTAAATTTTAGAGTATTATTGTATTAGCGTATGAGTCATATATAGGTCACAAGATATGAAATTGTTAGGCGTGATATATTAGGGGGTCAAAGATAAGGGATCAGTCTAAATATGTAGTGAAGAAATGTTAGGAAGCATTCTGTGTTTCATTCCTTAGCTGTAAATACAGGTTATACGCAGGGTGCATGTGGGTGGGAGTGGGACCTCGCTACAGCCTTCTGTCCGCCATATGTCTGATGGATATGTGTCCGTTTGTACAAGATTGGGATAAAGAAAAGACAAAGAAAAGACCGAGAAGAAAATGATAACCCCAAGGGAAAAGAGAGGGCGTTTATTCTTAAGGAAAAAATGCTTGAAAGAGCCTATGCTTTGCGATTCAGTTTGAAGAACTAGTGAACAGAGAAGGTTAGAAAAGGCTTAACCACGAATTTATAGAGCTGGGCCGTGTACCCTGTCGAAGAGCAAGTGAAAGTTACTTCTCTTCATGTATTTTTTTGTTACTCGTAGTTGTATTTTCTATTTAAAAAAAATGTATTTCTTTGTAGGTATGTAGAAACCAAGTCAGATCGTGTAACAGTCATATTCAGTACCATTTTCCGTGATCCCGACGATGTGGTTATTGGAAAATTATTTTTGCAGGTTTGTTCTGATGCGGTTTGTCACCCTAGAATTTCATTATAGACTTTCAGTTTTACAAATTTTTTATAATGACTTGATTAGTTAGTGAAAAAAATCACAGTGAGATTTACGTGCAGCATTTCATTAGATGTTTTGTATGGCTAAATTTGTTCTTTACAAAGCACTGCTAGTGGAAATCGAGGAAAATTTACAGGTGTAATGCTGCACAG